TATGAAACTATAGAGATAATTTGTGAAAACAGGGGACTAGTGAGACAGATGAGCCATGGTGAAATACTTTCCTTGCAAGCATGAGGACCTGGGTCCCATCCCCAGAACCTGTGTGAACAACCAGGCGCGGCAGCACAAGCCTGTAATTCCAGCAATGGGGAGACAGACAGCTAGACCCCTGGGCCCTGCCAGCCTAACTGGTGAACTCCGGGCCAGACACAGATCCTGTTTTAAGAAGAACAAGGTGAGCCAGGCATGGTGGCGTACACTTATAATCCTAAGACTCGGGAAGGAGAGGTGGGTGGATTTATGTGAGTTTGAGGCCAGCCTGGTCTATATGAAGAGTTCCAGGCCAGCCAGAGCTACAGTGAGATCTTGCTCCCTTACCCAGAGAGAGGGGGTGGGGAGAAGAAAAAGAATGTGGATGACAGCTAATATAGTCTCCACATGTATGCATACACACCTACATATACACCACACATACACAACAAAATTGTGAAAACATAGTTGTAACTATGTTAGGATATTTTTGAATTTTTACAGTAGCATTAACTCCAAAAACTCTCAATAGCAGTCAAACGAGAACAAAATGCACAGAAATATGCCAGGAACATAGATTTATGATTCTGTACAGGGTCTGAAATTCTTTGAAAGATCATTTCCTGGGTTGTTTCATGTATGATGCTTTCAATGAGAGGTTGAAGTGGTCATCCCCACACCTTTCAACTCCCGCATCTTGACAACTACCACCCGACTGAACTCTCAGCGTCACTACCGACAGAAACAGCCCCGTCTCTGGGGACTAGTGTGAATTTTTTAATCAGTAATGTTTTGTGTACCTGGGCTTGGGGTGTGTGAGTGTTTATGTTTGTGGGTGCAGATGCACACATGCTATGCACACGTGGGTGGGAAGGTCAGAGGACAACCTTGGGTGCTCATCCTCACCATCCCCCTTGTTTGGGACAGGGCCTCTGTTGTTTCTGTGCTGTGGACTCCAGCCTAGCTGGCCTGTGAGCATCCAGGGATTCTTCTCTCTCCCCTCCTTCCTCTCCCTGTAGAGTGCTGGGGTTACAGACACACTACAACATCCAGATTATATGTGGATTCTAGGAATTCAAACTCAGGTCCTGGTGCTCGCAAGGAAAGCATTTTTGCCTGTTGTGTGATATTTTGATCGCATTCTGACAATAAAGCTTGCTTTGAATCAGAGGGTGGAACTAGCTACTAGTTGACCAAAATTAACCATCAAGGTTTTAGAGGACTAAGGACAGATAGAGAGGAAGTAGTAAAGCAGGGCGCTCAGAGAGGGTCTTGGCCCTTTGGAAGGAGGAACGGCAGAGAAAGGAGGTCACCGGTAGCTTCCCGCTGCTTCTCTGATCACTCAGGTTCCTACCCTGATGTCTAACTCCTAAGTTTTTATTGATAAAGAATAATTAGATAAATGCATCATTTACCCATTGAGCTATCCCTCAGGAGTCTAATTAATACCTTAATGGACAGAATTAAAGCAAAATGGGGGAATGACCTCATATTGATGGAATCCTCGAAGCTCTTGAGAGTGACTGAAGCCACAGAAGCCACCTTCTCCATTACATCATTAATCAAGGAAAGGAAGATGTTCTTTGTACATAAAACCACAAAATTAAGGTTAAGTGAACTCTAGATTTCTAAGAAAGGAATAATTCAAGTGTAAGCTCACTTAATTAGCAAAAATCATAGTGAATTGACTAGGATTTTGTTATAGAAGGTATGTATCTAAGGCCTGGGAACATAGCTCAATGGTAGAGTGCTTACCCAGCATGCATGGGGCCCTGGGTTCAATCCTCAGTACTAGAAAACAAACAAACAAATCTAAAAAGAAAAAATATATTTTATATAGGCAAAAGGCAAATGTCTTTTTCTAGAGGTAAGAAGAGTCTGGTATGACTATTTGAAAATCTATGTATACTTTACACTGTTTTCAACTATGTTATTGGCGGATTAGATTTTTCCGTCTGGGAATTCCACTCATTGTTGACACCTAACTGGACATGCCTTAGGAATAAAATGCTGATTCAAGAGATGCTTTGAGCAGTGATACCCATTCCCACATCCGGGCTGCAGACAGCAGATTCATCAAGGCCATGCATTTGGCACGGCTTGGCCAAGGTAGAGAGGCGGTCTCATCCCCAATGTTTAAGTCTCTGTCTGAACGGTTCCACTACTTGAGCCCCAGGACTCTGGGTATGGGAGCCATCTCTGAAGTGCCCAACTTCTAGTGACAATGGGAGACGTGAGAAGGAAAAGGGAGAGGACACAACCTCCCAAAGAAAACCAAAGGGAAAATATTCACAACAACTTGGGGAAAAGCACGATTCTCACCGAAACTTTAAATTAGAAAACACTTTCTTAGGTTTGAAATGAATACACATCATTGTTGTCTAAGTCTTCCCACTGTCTGCTCCTTCATGATTTCATATTTTAACAGCATATTTGATATTGTATTTTGCAACATTTTCGTATTTTGTAATTTCATCTTGCAACAGCAGATTTGAAGATTATCTCACACACAATACGGAGGTGATTTGAGTGAGGTCTGTGTAGTCGTTTACGGACAGACATGTCACACCTTTCTACAGGCTAAGTGTTACGTGTAGCTCACACCGTATTTTTGAATAGGGAAGTCTATAGAGTGAAGTACTTACTATTCAATCTGCTTTACACAAATGTCAATAGCAAGAAACCCTGCATACAGGAAAAGTATGCAGTTGTCTACTTTATTTTAAAAGGGTAGCATAAGAAATTTCAGGTAAAAAGGAGATTTTTAAATAATCCATGTCATCGAGGCACATAAAACTTCAAAACTCAAAGTAATTAGAGGGAAATGTTATATAAAAATCTCTTTCATGTAATATCATGGATTAGAGGACTATGGTATGTTATATCACAATTTTATTAAAAATAACAGTTGTTTTTTCCTCCTTTTCTTTCTTTTTTGTTTATTATCCTGGCAGTTCTTAGGATCAAAACTCAGGCTCACAAGGGCTCTATCACTGAGCTACATGTCCAGCCCCTGGTCTTAGACGTCATATTCCCCCCGCTGTATGTCAGTAAGTATCTGAGAATATATAAAGGCTGCAGAAAGTCAATCACTTTACACCAAAACCATCCTTCACAAGTACCACAGACATAGGCCCTCGAGGTCCACGGACTACTAGAGCTCTCTAAGTGATGCTCGGTGGTCTATGGGGCACGGGGACGGGTGTAGCCGCCTTTTTGTCTCTCTTAGATAACCCAGCTAAATCCACGCCTGGCTTCCTTTTTTTTTTTTTTTTTTTTTTTGATGTAAGAGGAGCAGCGAATTGTTTTGGAATTTACCCGAGCCCCACCTAGAATATAAAACCCAGAAGCATTAAGGAGCTAAACAATGGCACAGCCAATCCCCCCTGCCCCCAGGAGCAGCCCATAGGACGCCTTCTCTTACCTGATGTGGCCAATCAGCTCAATAAGCTTGTGGCTGAAGAAGTAAGCCGTGAGCTCAGACACGTGGCTCAGGACGGAACAGACCCCAAAGAGGGTCGTCGTTCCGTTCAGATCTTCCAGGTGCCAGTAGAGGAAGGTGAACACAAAGCCGTATCCAAAACCCATGAACCAGGCCACAAACAGCACGGAGCCGTACTGCACGCTGCACAGCAGCTTGATCAGGTCCCAGAAGTTGAAGGCCTGCGAGTGCGCCGCGGCCGCCGTCGTGGGCGTCTCCTCCGAGGACTCGGTGGAGTTGTCCCTGTCCACCTGCGGGATCTCCACCTCCTTCCCTTTCCCGCCGTCGTCGCTGCGTTTGAAGTGGTTGTAGCGGAACCGGAACTGAGTGGCGACGATCAGGGCCAGGGTCATGAGGACGCCGAAGACGATGAAGACGATCTGGTAGTTGCGGTACTCGGGGGGCTTGCACCCCTTGCCGTCGATGAGCACGTCGATGTGGGTGTAGTCGATGCCGATGCCCACCGACAGCATGGCCAGGCCCCAGCCCAGGGAGCCCCACATGCGCTGCAGCCCGTAGCGGTCGCGGTGCTTGCCCAGGTACTGCAGGGTCACCGTGTCTACAATCGTGACCGAGGAGGCACTGAAGAACTCTCCGATGATGACCACCACCAAGATCACCAGGAATATCGCCTCCACTTCTTGCTGGTCATAGAGGAGGGTGACTTGGTCCGAGGGTAAAGATTTGGTGGTGGTGGTGGTGGTGGTGGTGGCGGCGGCGGTGGTGGTGGCGACCCCAGCTGCGGTGGCAGCAGTGGTGGCCTCCGTGGCGTTACCGGCGAGGGTGGAGGTCAGGGTGCTCGTGTTCAACACCAAGTCCATCACCGCGTGGGTCGCTTCCTCCGTCCCGGGCTGCAGCGTGGGTCCACCGGTCAAGGTCAAGGCCGTGGTTGGGAAAAGAGCCGCGTCTGCGCTATTGGGCCCCGTTTCCGACGGCGGCGGCGACAGCGCGTTCCTTTTTTCACGGGGTTTGGGTGGTGTGGTGAAGAAAGCCACGGTGGAGGAATTCATCGGCAGGGGCGTGGCGGGGTGACTGGCATTGGTGGGGTGAGTGGTGGGGGGAATCTTTGGTACGCATCTCAAGGTGGCAGGCTTGACAAAGCCGATGCCCAGGTTGAACAAGACCCAGCACAAAAGCGAGAAGAGGAGGACGATTTTGCCCTTCCTGAAGCGATCTGCCACGACGCCCCAAAAAGGGGCGCTGCAGAATTCGATGAAGTACCGAATGCCCACCAGCAGCCCGCTCTGGCTGGGCGACATCCCCAGCTGTTTGTAGTACACGGGCAGGAGCGGGTAAAGAGAGCCATAGGCAGAGTAAAAGAAAAAATAGAACACCTTGGAAATGAGCAGGTCATTGTTTATCTTCACACAGTGTTTCTCTATCCAGTCTATTTCCTCCTCGGGGATGGCGGAGGTCTCCGTGGAGGAGGGGGTTTCATTGGAGGGGGGCTCCGGTTCCCTGCAGATGCCGTTGAAGGGGTCGGCAAGCACGTACTTTCTCTTCTGCTCCTCTTCATCGTCCGTTAGGATGGCGACTTTATCATCTGCAGCCATGGCTTACCACTCCCATCAGGGGCTGAGACCTTCGGAATCCTGACTGGTGACCTGGAGGTTGAAAAGTAAGACACTGGGTGAGGAAAATCCTTAGAGCGTCCCCGTGCATAGAGATGGGGAATCTCAAGCCGCATCTAGATCACAGCTGGGGATCCTGGCCAAGGACACCAGCTTTAAAAAAAAAAATTAAATACAAAGATAGAGACATGGCTCACTTTCTGTTCTTACAGAGGACAAGCTCAGTTTTCACATCCAGGTCATGTGGCTCACAACCTTTCCAGCTGTCTGTAACTCCAGCTCCAGGACTCTGACACCCTCTTCTGGCCACCACAGATACAGGCACATACATACATCTACATATACACCCAGATGTACGCACACTGGAGAGACACAGATATACACATAAAGATAAAATAAGTCTCTTTTGAAAACTAAGTACTCTTATGGCCACTGATTGGAGCTGGTTGCTGGCAAGGCATCAGGTTGGAAGCAGCCTTGCTATTACCTACATTATACACAGTGCTCTCGAGTCATTTAGGGACTGAGTTTAAGAGATTAGAACCAAAAACAGGTAATATCTATTGAGAGCTTCCATACAGCTCTGTGGTAGAGAATCTGACTGCTGTGTGTGAGAACTTGGTTTGGTCTCCAGCAAGACATACATACAGAAGTAGATGTGGATCCATTCTCCTAGTAATTTACAAAAGGAAAAAAAAAAAAAACATTTACTGAGCTCTTACTACAGCAGGTTCATCACAACATGCTTACTACTTTGTCCACTATTTTGTCCACAAGAAAAATGAAGCCTGGCAAGCTTGACTAATAGGTGGCAGAGCCTGGATTTGAACCCTGCTTTATAGTGTCATTGTGTGTAACCTAATACAAACTGTAGTCTATGCATGCATTCCTGGATAGCTGTGAACATGGCCCAGCACCTTCATAAATAACAAGGCCATGCTGCAGTGTCTAAAGCTTGGACACTTCCACCACCAAAGTGTCAACTACCACGTATTATGTAATAAATTTAGAGAAAGGTGGTTTTCATATGAAAGATTAGCAATACAACAATGGTATAAATTTATAGGAACCATGCCACCTTCCATAATTTTCTCTTACTTTTATTACAGACATGATTAAGGAGTCAAAAGGTTGGGCCGACATCAACTTTGTCCCCTCCAGTTGCAGTGAACATAGTGTGATGCTAGAAGAGGTGCTTATTACATCCATGCCAAATCCTCTAACCTTCTCCAGCAGAGAGAAACATCAG